TGGTGGAGCCTCCCATGGCAAGAATGACAGCACTCAGCCTCTTTCTGTAGTGTTTAACAAGGTTGGAGAACACTTGTGGAGGGATCTTGGACCACTCTTCCATATAGAACAGTTACAACTCATTGAGATTCTTGGGTTTTCTCTTGTGAACTGCTCTCTTCAGTTGAAACCACAGATTTTCATTTGGGTTCAAGTCTAGAGACTGAGAAGGCCATTGCAAAACCTTGATTTTGTGCTGCTGCAACCATGTTTTTGTCGATTTTGACATCTCCTTCGGGTCATTGTCTTGTTTGAAGACCCAAGCAAGGCTCAGTTTCAGCCTGCTGGCAGAGGCAACCAGATTTTCAGCTAAAATTTTCTGGTATTGAATGGAATTCATTATGCCACTGACCTGTCCAAAAGCCCCTCGACTGCTGGCAGCAAAAGCGCCCCAAAGGCATCAAAGAGCCACCACTATATTTTACTGTGGGTATGAAGTGCCGGTCTTTGTGCTCTGTCCCCTTTTTTCACCAAACATGGCGATGGTGTGCATGACCAGAAAGCTCAATTTTTGTCTCATCTGACCACAACAAATGATTCTAGTTGTAATTCCAGTGTTGCTTGGCAAAGTTCAGACTCTGGGATTTGTGTCTTGGTCTGAGAAAGGGCTTCTTTCATGGAACTAAAAAACGCCAGTCCAAAAAGCTCATTTGGTCATGGAGGTGGCGTCTCACTGTTGATTTTGAAACAGGCAAACCCCAAGGTGCAACTAAATTTTTTTGTGATATTTGGACTTCTCTTTGCCTCTCTTAGCATCCTCATCACTGTGCATGGGGCAGTATGCAGATACGTCTCCTGCTCTGCAAATTTTCAACTGTTCCATGTTTTTGAAACTTTACTATGGCCCTGATTGTGCTTACTGGTAATTTAAACTGTGGACCTATCTTTTGGTAGCCATTCCCCTGTCTATACAGCTCATTAGTTTTTACACTCATTTGGGCTGAGAGTTCTTGGGTGACAAGTGTTGATGGATGACAAAGGGATTTTACCTGTGTGTTACCTCATATTTATACCCTGGGGAAACAGGAAATGGTCATAGGCAACAATAAAGTTCGTAGATACTAAAAACAATATCAAGAAGCATTTTTCCCCAATGACACACATTCTTTTGGTTTTATTCATTGTATTCTTTAAGGGTGCCAATAATTTTGCCATGTATGTTTTTGACAGAATGAACTATTCCAAAGACATAACAACTCTTTTGCAGGAATTATTTGTATTGAATGAATAGTTAGCAATTTCTCCAAACATTTGTGGAGACATATAATGTACAACCAATAGATGTACTACTTATATTTAATTAATGTTTTTCCTCACTTTCCATATATATATATATGTGTATGTATAAGTATCAAGGTTCAAATGCTGAATGGAAATTTTGAATGGAAGTTAATTCCAATCAGTCATCATGGAATTTAACACAGTATAAAGGACATATAACACCACACCCAGAGACTATAAAAACGAACCCCTCTTTGTATTGTGTATGACATGCTAGGGGGTGGGTTTGTTTTTCATTGGCGTGTGATTTGGTTTAGTAATGCATGTGTGGATGCAAGGACACAAAATTGGAGGAATTAAAATTTTTGCCATGTGGCTGCAGAGGGACATTTAACGGACCATTTCATTCACAGCAGCGCAGGCTGGTGTGTGTCCTTTCTCTCTTCTCTCACTTTTACCAAGAAGCTATCAGAATGATGAGAGAGAGAGAGACAGAGAGCAGAAGAGAAAGAGAGAGAAGGAGAGAAAAAATGGGATGAGCTAAAGGACTGGAGGTTTGAATGCTCCCAGGAACATTTCCCTAATGAACCAGTGTTCAGTGTAGTTCTTTCTGAGACGTGTTTTTCTTTGACAAGACAACCAAAGAAAATTAAAAGGGTTGTATTGTGGAAAAACACATTTTCCTGGTCCGACGTAGTATATAAACATTAACATCTAATTCTAATCCCAGTTTATACAGACCATATAGCCGCTTTCTGCAGCCTACAGCAAAGTTACATGCTGATGTAAGAGTGTTCTCATCAGAGCGGGACTTCAAGTCAACAATCTACCATTTTCAAGGTGACTGTAATAATAATAGTGAGAGGAGTGATTTATAACTCAATTTAAACAGGGGGTCTCATTAAGACCTCAAAAGAGCAATGCACAAATCCTTGTTTTTACAGTGACGAAAAACGTTAGTAAGTTATTAGCATCCCGTACAACCAGCACTATATATATATATATATATATATATATTGCAACATAGCCACACTATGGAATGTAATCCTTTCTTAAAGGGACAATATCGGTGGTTTAATTATGATATTTCCATCAATGTGTGATGTGTGGGGGTTACTGAGGTGAAACCTCTACTCGGTACTGAACTAGAGGGCAGCGCCCAAAAGCAAAAAAGTGGAACCAGAGTTGACCAAAGAGGTCTAATCCCAGGACAAATTTCAATAGTATTTATAACATTCGCCTCTACTTACCACTCGGAAGTGCATCACATTTTTGTTACACAGCTGAAGCCCAAGTGGAGGAAGGGACGTTGCGATTTTTCAATAAGAATATTTTTCTCCCAATTTAATGAGCTAATCTGCTAGCCTTGCAAAATCTGTAGTGCAAAATGTTTCTTGGAGAAGTTAACAGACATGCATTTTAAATAATTGCTTTGTGTGGCTGTAAGATTTGGTATGAAATCATGGTGTATTGCCTTTATTTTTGTTTTTGCTTGCTGTGCAAGTCCAAAATGTATAACCTAGCTTGCTAAGTGGTAGACATTTTCCTAGTAAATTCACAATCACTTGAGCTTATAAAGTAACGGAACAGCGAGAAGTTGGAAGTTTTTCAAAAAATACATTTAGATATGCAAATGAGGCATAATGTGCATAATTTACAAAAAAATAATACAAAATAATCAATTACAGTAGAATTAAAATGTTTGTTTCATTGTAAAGACAAGCTCAAGAGTACGAATTTTACAGATCACTGAAATCACATTGTTTATTGTTTAATCAAGAAGCACTATGAACTGTTATTATACAACCTGTTTGAGGTCATTTTGTAGCACAAAATCTAGCAAAAATCCAGCTGTGAGCAGTATATTAGAAAATCCCTCTGAAATGTCATTTAGATTATGTTAAGGAATCAAAATGTAAGATTTCACAGATGTAGGTATTCTAGAAAGTTGACATTTTTGGTTCTGAATGTAGTGATAAATGGTTTTAAGAATGGGCCTTGAAATCACAATACCTAGTGAGACCTCAGAAAACATGCAGCATTTGTATGAAAGCTGTCATTTGTACAAAAGAAAAGAAATATTTGGATATTCTAGATAGTTCTGCCCAAGTATGGGTGGAGATAAGGCTTCATTAGCATTGCTAATGAAATACAGTAAGATGTGAGTGGACACAAATTGACAAATATATTTCTGTTGAGTTTTGACATTTTATCATTGCATTTTAAGAAAAAATGTCTTCTTAGGGCATGTTAAAAGCAGTATTCAGATGGCTGGTAAGCCTCACCTCATGAAATGGATCTTGAACAATGGTGGGCACCATGTAACACACGAATATTATACATGCCAACCAGGAGGGGACTTGTACAGTATGAAAGCCAAAAGACAGGCAGGTAAACCCCTGGGGTCCATCTGTGCATGTGCCTGACTCTAAGCTCTACAGAGTGCTTTTTTCTCACCTTCATCTATTCCATGCATGAGCCAACAGAGCAGCAGACTTTTACCGGTTTTACAGTTTAATACTCCATGCATTTTTGCAGTCTAAGCTACTACTGAATCATGAATGTTAAGGGTTTTTTCTGCACAGCACTAGAGTGTGTACTATTTGTGCAGGCTGTCTAAGTGGGTCACGGAGCCTTTTAATCACCATCAACAATGTTAATCAACGCTGTACACTTTGAGTACAAAAGACTTGAGTAATTACCCCGATGCAAAATTAATGCCCTGTTCGGAGCGCGTAGGGTGCAAGGGAGAAACACTTGACTTAAAAAAAGTTTGTGACACATCAACCTCTCTTCCAGTGTAAATTAAATCATGCATACTGTGCATCTCCACGAGGGTTTTTTAGAGAGTCTGACATTAATAAGTTTTTGATCACACCTCATTTTTATTCATGAGATTTCCAAGAAAGTGTGGTTTCAAGTTAAGGCTACCACTTATTTTCGCAATATGTTGGGAGGCAGAGAGGCTTCAGGTAAATTGGCTGCTCCCAAACTGCAGAACGACTTTGTCTCTCGCAGCCTTGGCTCCACGAGCGGCGATGTGAGAGGGTTATTAGGTGAGAGAGCAGTAGATCAGAGAAAATGCTGATGGGTACTTCAGTCCACATTTCCTTTATTACAGCTATTTATCAGTGATTCCTGAAGAAAATCTCCTCCGTGTTGACACTTTAAAGAAGTCTCAGATATATCGGCAAAGTATAGGTGCAAATGATCTGCAATTACTGTGTTTTGGTTTGACACAAGTGTCAGAGCATTGTTTTCGCAAGGGAATGGCTCTTTAGGCAGAATGCTGTCACTTACTGACAGAGAAAGTCAGAACTTTCTTCATTAGCGCTATTTCTACATTTACTCCAGACCATAAATGTGTATGTAACATCAGGTCAGAGCCACAGTGTGAAGTTTTGGAACAGCTACTCATTATTTTCATCCACTCTCCCATTGTCTCATTAAGGCATCTCCAGCAAAGCTACCTTGAAGCTTTTTGAAGGAAAAACTTCAAAACTTCAGCTCAACTGAAGTCGAATGTTGACAAAAAGGAGCGAAAGCAACCTGCTCGGAGCATTATGACAAGGTTCCCCGCTGATGCCGTTTGCTATGAAGAGATTTGGGTAATTGACATTGTGCTGTAACATCTGCATAATGAATTCCCCACAGTCACCAAAGCTGCTAATGAAAGAAGGGGTAGTTTGAACAAAAGGGGGGATACAAGGACATGCAGGAACAGTGATGAGGCTCATTCTTTTTTTTTCTCCACAAATAACCATTTATTCTTCACACATTTAGCGAAAATCACGGTTTATTGAAAGGACACAAGAAGGTAGAGAAACTGAGACATGTAGCAGTAGATTAAGTACTCAGTGCATGGCACATCATTCTCAGGGAGACGACTCACTGTGAGTCGGGTTTTTCTCTTTAACTCTGGCACCGAAAGCTTTCAAAATATTCAATGGTAAAAGTTGGCCAGCCAACTCCAGTTACTAATACTTCAGAATTATGGAGGGAGAGTAAATTAACCTTTGCTACACCATACAAGGAACCAAACCTTCACCTTTTAGCTCTTCGAGAAGAGTTCCAGTTCAATTAAACAAGTCATTTTAGCATTCAGATTTCTGGGCCTGCATTCAAAAAGTGACCCAAGTGTTGTTTTATTTTTTCTGTTTCGTTTACTGACCTGGCTAAACTGAGCGTGAAGCACCACTCCTGCACTGAGGGGCTTTGTGAATATGCCTCAGGCCTTACGGTGCCAGTCCAGAAAGTGTTCTCAACTACAAACATCACAAATCAAAGAAAGTTTGTGTCCTCAATTTTGGAATCAAACTGAAAACAGATAACAAAGAAAGTAACAGTTATAAAAAAGAAATGACCAGTACCATTGTAACCTTTTAAAATCAAACCCTAAAAGTCTATAGTGCATGCCATTGTACTATGCTGTGGGATTCATCGAGAAAGTTCAAAATTGTACGTAGGGGACTCCTTTTCTACAATAGCAGTGTTACATACAGCAAGTATGTGTGTGTGTGTGTGTGTGTGTGTGTGTGTGTGTGTGTGTGTTGTGTTATGTTTGAATGCGCTTAAAACAGTGCTTTAGATTTTATCAATTTAAATGTGTACCTTGGTTGCAAAAGTCAGAGAACACCATTTCTAAACCAAAACCAAGTCAAAACCTCCGCTATGTACAAGTTCTTCATTTTTTCAAAAAGCAGCAAACATGTATTCAACAGAAAATTCCACAAACGCCTCAACAACTAAGTGCAATTTGTCCACTCTTTACCTTTGTGCACCTACTGCCACTTCAACCTTTCCATCCTTACATTTTTAAAACCAACCAGTTACAGCTGTGTCCTCTCAACAAAAGCTGTTCCCAAAGGACATCATGTTCCATTATGTGTCATTATGACACTGTTCAAAGAAACACTAACATTCACAGAAGCAACTACCCAAACACACCTTAGCTGCCTTGAAACTTCTTAATCTTGTGTATCTACAGTGGCTAGGAGACATTTTTGAGGAGACTAAATATAAGATAATCCACTTGCATAAGGAAGTGGAAATTCACAAGAAAATGAGTGAATAAACCAGAGTTTCCAAAACCTGTTGTTCAAAAATTTATTAAAAAATACAAGACCTGGAATATCATCAAATGGTCACCATCAGATAAACAGTCATTACAGCTTTCATCTCTGAGAGAGAGGAGAAAATCAAGCTCCACTCTTGCTTCAGATCTGAAAATATCCACAGGTGTTTCTGTCCATCTTCACACCGTGAAAAGACAACTCAGTGCTATGGATCTGAAAGGATGTGTGGCTGTGAAGAAGCCATTAGTGAGAAAAAGGAAACTGGACATCCGAAATGTGAAGTAAGTTTTTATGGGCTGATAAGTAATTGCTGAGAAGACTGTAATTGGGGTTACTTGGTCGTGACAATATCCCTGCAGATTTCTTTGAAAAACTGACTGCAAGTCTCCCAAAACAATGGCAGCTTTTTTCCTGATGCTGAATTGTGAATAATATACTTAAAGTTATATTAAACAAATAGCAAAGCATGAATAAACAATATAACTATGACAAAACACGGCTTAAAAAACACTAATCAGACCTAGCTGAGAACTGTGCGAGCGTGGCTAATGAGCAGCTTGATTGACAGCTCTCTGTCCAACACGCCTAGCATGCTCGGCCACTCATATAGAATTTAAATCATTATCCAGCTTTTATGTGATGGTAACTGGACAAAAAGGTCATGGACGAACAGATGTGCAGATGGTTGGAGGGGCAGGCAAACAAACGGGTGGACGAAGCAACGCAGAATAAAGGAAAGGACGAATGAACAATGTTAGTGAATGGATAAAGGAATCGCTAAGCTTCTCTGAATCTGGAACTGTTTTGTGTGAGCGGGGCAGTTGACACCAGCCTTGTGATTGCTTCCGTAACCATTCCTCACCATTACCCAAGATTAGGACTGTCCAGTTTACAAGAGGACAGATATATGGTGAAATATATCTCCATATGTCATTTATTGGTCATTGGAATATTATTTAAAGGATATACTTAGTATATTTTTATTGTTTGACTGCAAGAGCAAGATTAACCAGATTAGATTAGAAAGAAAACACAGATTTAGGTTCCCTGGGTCTTTAATGGCTGTTTTGACTAGAAAATAAATCAAATGAAACGGTGGTCTCTGACTTTTGCACGGTACTGTATGATCAAAATGTATGACATAAACACAAGTGTTGCCAAAAGAAGTCAACTGAAAGACAATTATGTGATTTTATATATTTCATTCATTTCATGTACAACCAATTGATATATTTAAATCAATTCAATTCAAAGCACTATTTTTTGCAGCGCACACTCCTTTTATGTGTGGGTGTGTGTGTGTGTGTGTGTGTGTGTGTGTGTGTGTGTGTGTGTGCTTATATGCTCTGTGAGTGAGAGAGAGGGGGGGTTTAAACTGATCTGACTTCATCTCTACCATGCAGAAAATCTGCTAGCTCATTGTCTCTTAGTTGTGTTTGTCCACTTGTGTTTTTTCTGGGGCTCCCTCCGTCTTGCCACTGTCCGCTGGCGTCCGTGCGCTGCCATGTCCACTGCTCTCTGGGCTCCTGGGCTGCAGGGTAGAAGTAATGAGACATCAGCACAGAAGCAGATGAAATATGAGCGATTTCAAAAGACAGCTTTAAAGAGTGCACACAGGTCAAATTAAATGAGCGCACACTGGGAAGCAGCTATTCCTTGTTTCTGAGATGTCTGTTCATTTTGAACTTTTTTTTTTTGAAATAAGCCTGTCATCAACAGCTACAGAACTGTCACTGCAGAGGCCAGATATTGATCGGACCAAATGGAGTATGATAGAGGCAGCTCTGAGCCGAGGAAGTCCTGACATTTCATTCGGTCAAACAGGACAGAAGAATGATACTGGGTGTTAATATGAATTTCGTTAAAGTATAGACATCTACTGATGTTCACTCATACCTCTTTGAAATAAACGGAGAGATTCTGCACATAGAAGGTTGAGCAAAAAATGCAGATTCTAAATGAATGCCACATTTATGTTCATAAGCGGAAGAGGAGCTGTTTTATTATTATTCGACATTGATGAAAAGTCCTTGTTTGGGTCTTGTTTTGCAGAAAGAAAAAAAATATTCTTTATTTTTTAATCATTCCATGACATTGAAACAAGCAGACAAAAGACAGGAAGTGCAGACTCGAAACTGTCAATATAGAATGTTATTTTTAATGTGGAAGGTAACTTCTTATGTAATGAGAAACGTAATTGCATAATTACACTGTGTTAGTATAGCAAAACAACAACAACTCTAGACTTCTAGACAGCTGGATTCAATTGACCGGATTCAACAAAATTTGACAAATCTATATAATCTCCCCAAACTACACCAGACTGAAATAAAGGGTCATTGCATGAACGTTTATGTCATCATTATGCTACACTCATTAACAAGAACAACACAGTAATTATAATTCCATGAACTGAGTTTGAACCGGACTGCTATCACAGAGGGAGCTCCCAGCCCATTACAGAATGCCATTCACTCCACAATTATTACCGTAAAACTGTAAAAACTCCAGATGTCATAGATTTATACTGGATTAAATTCACAGAATTTACCTCCGCAGATAAAATGAATCCAGCTTAAACAGGGCTTTAAATAACCAGCAGTTAAAAGCTAGTTAATTTTTTTTAACTGGATGTTCTCCATGTAAAACTAGCCAACAAATTCAGTACTGCATGAAGATTAATGGTGTGACACTCACCTGGTTGTGGCCAGTCTTTGATATCTCAACAGATGTTCTCTCAGTCTGATTCTGGAAACATTCTGCACCAACCTGTAGAACAAAAATCACGTCGCAATCAAGAAAGGGCAAAAGAAAGTGTATACACATAAGCTGCCAGTTTATTAAGTACAGCTACCTCGTCCCTACTCTAACTGGCCATTTTATCAGGAACACCTACCGTGTGTGCACTTTGTATTAGGGATGTGATTTCTAACTGCTTGTGATATTATCATGTCTGTAAGAGTTAATGGACATGTATTGGTAAAAAAAGAAGTAAATAAACAAATACAATTTCTGACAAAAGGCTTTTTTGGTGATGGGACTGGTGTTAGGAGGCTAAAAAATCAGTAGGCTGCATCTTCAGCTGAGCTAATGAACTTCTAGACAAGATCTTTTCTCCTCAGTGTTTCTCCCTGACGTACTAATATGCTTGCTTGTCAGAGAAACAACTGCTCTATTGTTTCTAACATTAGCTAACATCAGCTAGAGTAGTTAGCTTAGCTAGTGATAAATCACATTCTTAACCCCTCAAAAATGTCCACTGTTTTGTCTTGAAAACAAGAAGCCAACATAAATACTATTAAAAAAAAAATGGAAAAAGCGTTCCCTGGAGCAAAGATGTAGAAGAGCCACTTAAAAAACCTTTAAATGGATGGGTTTTTATGGAATAATGTTGGCAAATAGGTAGTGTGAGAGTGAAGAATCTTTTAAAGTTTTAAGAACCTACACAACCTGCACCAAATAGACCCCTTAAATGGCCATGGCCTGGCACTGGGGCCCAAAGTTTTATTACACATTTCTATAACCTAAGAATAGCTCAGTCAGTTTGCATTGAAGTCCCTGTAGTTACTGGACAATAAGCTTTAAGCCAGTGATTTTAAGGGGTTAATGTGTCCCAGACAGTGCACTCATATTAAGGCACTTATAGCAGCAAAGTGTAATGTAATGTACATACTTATTCATGAGTATCAGCAAAAATGTCACATTTTATGGTCCCGATGAAACAGAAAATCATAAAATTGCTGGCCTGTATATTTTTCCAGCTTCCTGTAGCAAATACCCAAACAATGATTTCAAACATTCCTGCTGACTTCTGCTTACTACTACTACTACTACTAATAATAATAATAATACTGTACTTACTGACTGTTGCATATATATTGCTACTCAATTTACATCCCCTCATCCATCAGTCATCACAGAACAATAAACACTGACATGGTAGAGGCATGTTAGTGGGTTTTGTGCTAGTATAAGTGTATCAGGCAGCACCTTGTAGACTGTGCCCCATCTGTTGTACACAATTTGCGTTAGTCATCCACTTGCCTTTCATCAATGGTCAGTTCCTGACCACAGGTACACTAATAGCTGGATATTTTTTGTTAGCGGGCTATTCTTAGAGTTCAGAAACACTGCTGTCCCTGTGCCGCTCAGACCAGCGCGACACACGTTGGTGTCACTGCTGTGGTGAGAATGGTCCACCATCCAAATGATATCTGCTCAGCAGCGGCCCTTTGGTGGTCCCTTTCTGTTGATGGACAGAGTAGAGAGGGGCTAACAAACTGTACTACAACAGATGGACTGCATTCAGTAAGCCCACAACATATACCCAAATGGTAGGTGAACCTGATAAACTGGCCAATGAATGCAGGTACAAGGTAGATGCTTCTAATTAACATGCAGCTCATTGTTGATCGGTGTCAATCAACGCACATCAGTGTGTTTTGTTTGGTACAAGAATCAGGACAAGTGTATACTTTAAATGCTGTTACTTATTTGTATAGTTTTTAATAACTAACCCTTATGACAAAGCAGCTTTACCTCAGCTCCTGTACGTACAGTATACATGAAAAATGCTGAGATGATTATTAGTCATTTGTCTGTGTGTGCGTGTTTTAAAAACACAGCTCCTGTTTATTTGAGCACACCCATGTAGGGTGCAATGAATCCGTAATGCTGAATATAGCTGTTTGCTGTTTACTTCCCAAAAGCCCTGCCTGGGCTACGGTGATTATACAGCTTTGCATATAAACAGATTAATCACATCGCTCAAGGGATGGCGTATTTTAAGGAAATGTTTCGTCTGCATGTATTTCCATGTTCCGAAACAACCCGGAGAGATTTCAATCACGCAATTTAGAGCAAAATATGCTCTCAAGTGAGATTAAGGTACTTTGTGTAAGTTTAAAGTTGAGAGAATGTAATATATGCCCTTTTCTAGCACCCACAGACACACATACACAGAGGCACACTCGCATACACACAAACAAAGATGCTGGAAGAAAGTGAGTGAGTGAACAGACTGAAGATTGGTGGCTGCCAAAAATAAAGCACAATATATCCCGGGCAGTAAAACAGTCAAGAGGGAAAAAAATATCAAGGACCCAGTATACCTTTTCTCCTCTAATTCTTACTGCTTCACTGATTTTGTCCACTTCCCTCGACTCTATAGTAAACAGGATGTAAAATTCACTTGTTTTTCCTCTCCTCTCGTCCGAACTGGCTGTGAATAAGATGCTAAATTTAGCACTGTTCATAAATGATAAAGCAGCACTGATGGAAAGGCCATACAAATGTCGCTCTTTCTCTCTCTCTCACTTTTTTTTATTTCTCCCTCTCTTACTGTCACTCATTATTCTTCCTTTCTCTTTGTTGCTCTTTCACTCTCTGTCCTTCTTTCTGTCTCTCTTTGTCTCTTTATCTCAACTCAGGGTAGATTTATTGGAAAGGCTGTATTAAGTACAATGCTGCCAAAACTTATACCTAAATAACAGAAAAATAAATACAACAAGATGCATTAAATATAACCTTCTTTCCAAAAGAATGTGGAGGCTGTGACAAATGTAAATAAAAACAGAATGATGTGCAGATCACTTACACTACATGTTTAATTGAACATAGTACAAAGAGAACATATAAAATGTTGTAGCTAAGAAATGTTATTCTTTTTTTGAAAAATATATGTCCATTTTGGATTTGATGCCAGCAACACATTTCAAAAAAGTTGGGATGGGGGCATGTTTACCAACATTTGCAGAAATAAGTAAGGCCTTCCCTGAAAAAGACGTTGTCTGGATGGCAGCATATGTTGCTCCAAAAACTCTATATATAATTTAGCATTAATGGTGCCTTCACAAATGTGCGAGTCACTCATGCCATGTGCATTAATGCACCCTCATACCATCACAGATACTGCCTTTTGAACTGTTCACTGATAACAAGCTAGTTAGTCCCTCTTCTCTTTAGCCTGGAGAGTGCAGCATCCATGATTTCCAAAAAGAATTTCACATTTTGCTTCGTCAGACCACAGGATACTTTTTCACTTCACCTCAGTCTATCTTAAATGAACTCAGGCCCAGAGAAGGTGGGGGTGGTTCTGGATCTTGTTTATATATGGTTTCTTCTTTGCATGGTAGAGTTTTAACTTGCATTTGTGGATGCAGTGAGAAACTGTGGTCACAGACAATGTTTTTCAGAAGTGTTCCTGAGCCCATGCAGTGATTTCCACTACGGAATTGTGTCTGTTTTTGATGCAGTGCTGCCTGAGGGCCCGAAGATCACAGCCAGCCAACACTGGTTTTCAGCCTTGTCCCTTGCATACATAGATTTCTCTGGATTCCCTGAATCTTTTAATAATATTGTGTACTGTAGATGATGAAATCTGCAAATTCTTTGCTATTTTATGTTGAGAAATGTTGAATTGTTGCACTTTTTGCCCACTCAGTCTTTCACAGAGTGGTGAACCCCTCCTCATCTTTACTCCCTAAAGCTCACTCTCTCTGGGTGCTCTTTTTATAACCAATCATGTTACTGATCTGTTGCTAAAGAACCTAATTAGTTGTGAGATGTTTTTCAGCAATACACTTTACCAGTCTTTTGTTGCCTATGTCACAACTTTTTTGAAACATGTTACTGGCAAAAAAACTCAAAATGGACATATATTTTTCAAAAAAACAATACAATTTTGCAGTTTTGACATTTCATATGTTGTCTTTGTACTATTTTCAATTAAATATAGAGCTTAAATGATTTGCACATCATTGCATTCAGTTTTTATTTACATTTTGCACAGTGTCCCAACTTAAGAAATAGGGTTGTAATGATATTAATAATAATAATATTGAGTAGACAATATTTTTCAACTGTCAGAACAAAACCTCCAAAAAGGAAACTTTACAAGAGAAGCAAAAAACATCTTCCATAATGTAAGTTAATGGAACAAGATTTTTATTGAAGTAATTTTTGCCATTTCTATTGGTCCAATTATCATGAAATTCTGAGAAAATGTAAATACCAACTCTTTCTCTCTTTTTTTTCTTTTTTGTCTCTTTATCTATCTATCACTCATCTTCTCGTTCCCTCTCTCTTTTTTCTCATTCTCTTCTGTCTTTTCTCTCACTTGCTATCTTTCTCTTTCTTGTTCTCTTCTCTTGTTGTTTCTTGGTTGCTCTCTCACTCTCTTTTTTGTGCTCTTCTTCTCATTTTCTATTCTATGCTCTTTTTATTTCTCCTTCTCTCTTTGTTCTTTCTCCATCTTTTTTGCTATCTCACTGCTTCAGTTTTTTCTCTCTCTCACTTTCTCTTTTATGCTCTCTCTTTACCTTTCTTTCTCTTGCTCTTTCTAGGTTTCTCTGTGCTTTTTTGTGCCCTCTCTGTTTCTGTCGCTCTTTTTCTCTCTTCCTCTATCACATAATCTTTCTTCTTTCTTTTTTGGCCTCTAACCTTCTCTTCTCACCTTCTCCTCTCTCTCTCTCTCTCTCTCTCTCTCTACTCTCTCTCTCTCTCTCTCTCTCCTGTTTCTCTGTCACAGGTCTCCACCCTGTATTTGTGCCACAGTGATTTCATCAATAACATCAGCAGGATGGGCGCTTTTTCATTAAGAGGCAATCTTCATGACAGGTCATCCACGCAGGGCGATCTTCCTCGTGCTGAAGGTGAGTCGTTTGGATTATACAGAGTACATGCTCATCCTTCCCTTTCTGTCTTTCTCTACCTCTATTTCTTGGTTTCACTATTTCTTGCTTACTCTCTCTCTCTCTCTCTCTTTTTCACCCACACCCACACATTCACATAGACACGCGTTTAAGAGTACACACACATGCACACAGAGACACAATCCTGTCACTATGGTTGATAACCACATGTCAGTAGTCAGTGAGATTAATCTCCTCTGGGCTACAGTCCTCCTCTCTGCTCTTCTCTCGCTATCTGTACTTTGACACATTGTTACAGGTTCCCAACATCTTCCCCAGTCTTGTTTCAAATCCTTCCCAACAAGGGAATCACACATACTGTGTCAGCCTGATATGCAGGATATTTGTCAACATGATGACGAATCAGGGTCATAAAAAAAGCTCGAGCATGCTTGACTATCCATTAGAGACGAACGTCTTTTTTAAGAAAGGTTCAGCATAAGGGTGCTTTTAGCCAACATCCATCATCTGCTCCTGCACAAACATGCAGGCACTTCTAAAAGTTGTGTTAAAAGAAGTTTGTCTCACAAACATCTCAGCAGTGATGTGTACTATGTGTACTTTTACAAAGCACAATTTCAAACTATGAGTGCTGATTCACTAAAGATATACCTTTTGGGAATTATGGGAAAAAAATGTGAAAAGAATTGTCACGCTTCCCTCTGGCTCTGTAGTCAGTAACACTCCGGACACTGATCCTCTACTGGACTACTGAAAATCATTTCTAAAATACATGTGTAGGTTTTGGCTACATACATTTTAGATGTTAAAGTGTGGTCGCTGATTAACTAATGATAGACCACTGTTAGTGACCTTTTCATATAGAAGCTATAAAAATATATGAAAAGTAACTGCAGAAATACAAAGATCATTTCTAAAATACATAAAAAAATTGAAAAAAGAACTGCTATTTCAAAACGTAATTGCTGATAAACGAAAGATGTGTTATTTGTAATTAAGCTATAAAAATATATGGAAAATAGCTCCAGAACAATGGAAAACAATATCTGTAATGCATGAAAAAATCACCATAACATATGTGTCCTAACAGCTATCTGCATGTTTAAAAAGTGCCAGTATTTCAATATGTAACTGCTAATTAACTAAAAATATACCATTTAATTAAGATATGAAAGAATGTGAAGATATCTAAGATATAAAAATATTTCCAGAACTATGGAAAGTAATGTCACTTTTAGAAAGCACTGTTATTTCAAGGTATAATTTGTTTACAAAATAATTTAGCCTATGGAAAACTATAGATAATTGTTCCCTAACTATGGAAAATAATTTATTAAATGCATGAAAAAGACCATAACATAGATACATATGTCTGTGCATATTTAGGTGTTTCAAAACCTACATGCAGTTTTAGACAGCACTGTGATTTCAAGGTGTATAAAGGTTAAAATGTTTTTTTACAATTGTTTACAAAATGAAACTATAGAAAACTGTGGATAATAATTCCAGAACTAATATAATAATTTCTAAACCACAGGAAAAAATATCATAACACAGTAGAAACAGGATTGTGCATATATATATATATATATATATATATATATACTACTGATTTACTTAAGATAGGCCATTTGTTAAAAAAAAAAAAAACTATGGAAAACTGTGAATAATAACTAATGAACTATGTAACTATGGAAAAAATATCTAAATTACATTAAAGAAATACCATAACATAGTCACTCATGGCTGAGCGTATACAGCTGTTAAAGTGGTGTTTTAGAAAGCACAGTGATTTGGAAGTGAAAAAAAAGTGTAAAAAAAAGTAATTATTTGTTTGCAAGATTAGAAAATAATTACTAAATAAATGTTTGAAAAGTCTAGGTAATAATGCCAGATTATGATTAACAATGTATAAAATCTCACTGAACTACGCATATAAAGGTGTTATTAGTACATATCCACATATGGTGGAGCAAAACAAAGGTAAAAAGAAGACATCTTGACTGTAAAAATGTCATTTTTTCATGGGCTACATTTAATTATATTTTTATGTATCTATGGAAACCATCCATATAGCACTGTATACTGCTGAGTAAAAGCTTCAGGTAGGTCAAATTCTGCTTTAGAAGGAAGGGAAATGACATTTAGAGCAGGGTTGCTAATGGTTTGTGATGCCAAGAGATGCGATGAGACTCAATGAACATATTAGCTGCTCCATTTGGGCCAGAGGGTCAGTAAAGGGCCATTAGAGTGTAATAGCAGTAAAGATTTACCTTTACCATCTGGCAGTCCTTGACTCCTGGACCATCTCTCCTCATTACCTCCACGTTCACAGGCAATTTACTTGTTGTGATTCTGGGAACTTTTGGGATGTCCTTAAAGGAAAGAACAAAAAGAAATATGATGTGATGCAGTGCAGGTATATTGTGAGTGAATAAGAAAGAGGGAGGATGTGAGCATTGCACTATTATTGGCCTTTCCGTGTTTAACTAGAGGTCAGAAGTCAGCATCGCTTTTCCATTTAGTGGTATTGCGTTGTGTTGAGACTGGGCTGTTCACTGTTAATCAGAAAGCACGTGCCTCTTTTAGGGGTGGACTAAAACTTGAAAAATAGCACAAAAATTGCTGGAGATGAAAATAATTTTTGTAATACATTAAAAAATCGCCAGAACACAGTCATATATGGCTGTGCAGATAAAAGTGACAGAACAACTATACACACTTTTCGAAAGCATTACTATTTCAACATGTAACTACTGATTAACAAAAGATGTATCATTTGTTAATGAGATAATTATGATATTATATGGAAAGTAATTCCAGAACAATGGAGAACAATATCTGTAATGCATGAAAAATGGCCAGAACACAGTTACATACAGCTGTGCATGGTGCAGGTGTTCCAACAGCTGCATAAGTATCTAGAAAGCACCACTATTTCAATATGTAACTGCTGATTAACTAAAGATATACTATTTAATTAAGATATGAAAGCAGGCAAAGGTGTTTTAAGATATAGAAATATATGAAAAAACATGGAACTCTGGAACAGAATCTCTTAAATGCATAAAAATTACCCTAAAACAGTCACATATACCTTTACAAAGCACTGCAATTTTGAGGTATAATATTGTGCCTCTTTTAGAGGAGGAGTGAAAACTAAAAACAAAAAAAAAATGGCTGGTGGGGAAAGAATGGACACTGAAACTGCCATTAGAATAACCTTTAACCTTTTGGGAATCCAGGCTTATTACATCTTAAGGTTATTATTCAGTAATTGCACAGGAACTGGCTGCAATGTAGGAGTGAGGAACAGAAGCCTGGAGAACTCATTTAAAGAGTTAAAGTTACACTTGTTTTGCTGTTAATGGCATGTAAGTAAAGCTCTGTTCTATCTGTCTATCTATCTATCTATCTATCTATCTATCTATCTATCTATCTATCTATCTATCTGACATTTTCATTTTTCTGCAATCCTGCATGATTTATAAAAAAAGAATAAAACAACTACAAATACCAATAACAAAACAACAAAAGTATTAAAAAGGTATTACAAATAAAGAGGTCAGTGGTATCTATCTTCTGCAGAATCACTTCATTTCCACATTAACATTAAAAACGTATTGTTGAAAGTGAAATAACAAACGCTGTTCCAGAACATCCACAAGCAGGAAAAAACCTACCATGTAGCACAATTGTGCATTAATTCTTGGGAGTAAATTGGCAACCTTTTAGACAGGAATTTTAGCCATTTATTCCAAGACCTCATGTCAACTTTCTGCCTACCCATTTAATTCATATGTATGCCTCTAAGGTTCCTGTGGAGGCCTTCTTGCATAAGCACCCTTATAGTGGGTCTTTATAAAGGCTGTTTCTAACTCTTTTCATAGATTTTATTCCACAAATGCCTGACAGGCTTGCTTGAGATGTGAGGTGTGAAGTAACACCTCTTTTTTCCTAGCTCAAACCTCCAGGACCTATTCACCTTATACATGGAAAGTATACTTGAAACATTTTCAGATGAACTTGTCTGAACTTGAACAACTGCTACAACCCTTACATAATGTAGCTGTGTCTCATCACAAATTCCCGCATACTGTATTTTCAGTAGCATAGAAAACCAAACTACATTTGTTTGTTATTCTTTCAGTTTAGACACCCAAAGCCCACATTGGTGGGCTTCCAACCCATTAACTGCTGCTGTTCCTGGGAGATTATTGGCTGGGTGCTGTGTCATTTTTAGAATTGTTTTGGCCTCACAGTTCCTTCACATAAATAATAGCAATAAGCTACCAGGGGCAGTGTGTCACAGCATTTTATCACGGTTAAGGGGTGATGTTAAGCAGCAATTATAAAACAGTAGTAAAACACAATGTGATAAAATATACTGATACTCAATAAATAATTATTTATTTTGATAATAATGACAATAACATATACTTCCTCCAAACAATGTAGATTGTTAACAGTGGGCCAAGGTTGCTATGCAACATAATGGATAAAGATTATTACAACAACACAAAGGTTTTTAATATCTTATTAATACAGAATTTAATAGGTATGCGAGAATTAGAGTAAAGTTTGTGCATTACTGTGAAGCATTTATCCATGATAAATCACTGTAATGCACAGCTTCAAGTGGCTTATTGCTTTTATAAAATGGCAAAAAATGACATATGGTCAACACAAATCTTCAGTGTGGTTTTGGTTAGATCTTTCTTATGGTGTATTAAAGCCAATGTGGGAAAACAAATGAGTGGCACTGTTAGCTTGATGGTAACACAGAAAATTGCAATGGGAGAAATTGGCATTATTGTTGTGGTGCTAATTTGGTGAGCAAAACTTATAAGGTGGAGGATTCTGCACTAAGCACTGGCATATTATGATATTATTATATGACAAAAGTAAAAATCATGAAATTGAAAAGCTGTAATATATTGTAATATACAATGGGCAACTGAAAGTTCTTGTCCTCCTTCAGCAGTTCATAGCTTGGCAACAATAGCAAACTATAAACAATCAAACAATCTACATTTCTCGGTGGAAGAATTGATTAAAGTGGTTAGAATAATTATAATCAACTTTTTAAATGTCATATAATAAAGGAAATAGCATATTATATTAGTGTTTAATGAAGAGTCCTTCACCTAATACGTAATTGTTTTCACCAAATTACATGCATAATCATAATGCTAATTTCTGCTAACACCCCAGAGAGATTTCCTATGTTGTGTTAGCATCAAGCTAACAGTACCACACCTTCACATTTCAATGCTGGCTTTAACTGCTTAAGGAAGACATACTAAAACAAGAACATTTAAAGCATGTAAGCTTTTAAGTTGTCTTTTAGTCTGTTTAGCCTAATATCTTGCATCCCTTTTGTTAAGAAAAAAAGTTGTCTGCCCTACAGTTCAAACAAAACTGGGTTCTTACTAATTATCAATAGATTCAGTGGTCCATGCATGCGGCATTACAGTCCACTGCACAAATGTTTTTAGTGACCTGATGCATTATTACAGAATTCAGTTGTTCTGAAGCAGCCTGTATACTGAGTATTTTTAGAACAGCTTTGAATACAGCACAGCAGATTTTAAGACCAGAACTGTTTTGTCAGAAAGGTTTTACACATAAAGCAGCGAGATGTACTAGTCCTCTGCTTCACATTCTACCTTTCTACTCCAAAACACAGAGGGGGTTAATATTCAGACAGTAAGCCTTAAACTCTGGCTAACCTGGCTCGATTGTCACTCTGGGGAGAGTAATAGCACAATAGTAATCCAGTTAGCTTCACATGGTGAATAAGACAAAATGTGATGTCCCATTATAAGCAATGTGATATCCATCACTGCAATGTCATGAAAACAAGAAGCCAGCATATATACTCTCATAAGCAAAGGTGGAAAAGGGTTCTCTGGAGTGATAATGCAGTAGAGCCACCTAAATAATCTTTCAATGGATGGTTCTTTATAGAATAAATTTGGTAAGTAGGTTGTGTGAGAGTGAAGACCCCTTTTAAAGTTTTAAGAACCTACACAACCTAAAATGGCCAGGGCCCATAGCCAGGGCCAAAGTTTTATTACACACTTCTATAACCTAAGAATAGCCCAGCCAGTTTGCATTAAAGTTCCTATAGTTACTTAATGACGCACCTTAGTCTATAATGAGCCTGGGAGTTTAAGGGGTTAAAGGTTTTTCCTAGAACCATGCATCTAAGCCAAGAACCCCTTGAGAACCTTTATTTTGAGGAGGGCAGCAGAATGCTGACTATTCATAGTATGACTGAAAAGGAAATACAGACTACATTATGGACCATCAGACATGTGGCTTTATCCTTAGAAAACTCCAAGAGCTTATGAAAAGGTTTCATTCCAAAATGTTAATTTCCACTGAAAACAGCAATTAAGTACAAGTTCCACTCATTTTTCAGGATATATTTTTGAGAAGATGAGATATAAAAGATAATCCACTTGCGCAAGGAAGGGAGAAGTCAAAAGGCAAAGCATGAAAAAAGTTTCCAAAACTAGAGTTCAAATAAAAGTGAGAACAGGACTCTCTGTGACAACTGAGTGTAACTGAAAACTGAAAGCAAGATGTCAGACCAGAATGGAAGCTGTAATGAAGGTGAAGTGTGGACTAATTACTGAAAAAAACTGACAGATGTTGATTTAGCTGTTAAGGCTTCTGTTATTTTCAGGAGATTATGTGTTTTCTTCATTTTTCCTGATTCTGCAAAATAATTAACTTATATTTAAAGTCAGTTTTGACTGGAAATTTAATAAACAAAGAGTAGTCTCTGACTTTTGCTCAATATAGTTTGCTCTTGGGAGTGGGCTTTACATAGTCAAGGATTAATTCAAGAAAATTAGTGCTATATTATAAATATATATCACATTAGAAAAATGAGTGTGTTTTTGACAAAACTTTTTTTCAGCTCTTTTCAAACCTCTTTATATCTAAAACTGTTACAAATACATATGCATTTTGGAATGAAACTCGCATATAACATAGACATACACACTTTGTTCTGTTCTAAAATACACTTCAACTCTCAGGAGACTGAAGTACAGAGCCAACACAGTGCTGCATGGCAGCTTTGGAAGAATGTGTTATTCATATTTCAGGTATTTGTTCCAAACTCCTGATTTAGCTAATTAGCTTCCCTCCTTGGTTCGAGACACAAGCTAATTAGCGCATGTTTGGAACAAATACCTTCAGGGCATGTTGAGGTATGATTACTTTGATTCTCTATATGTTTTAATTGCAGGTCAAATGACTGCTAAATAGGATTTAGCAGAGTTTAACTCAATTAAACTGGAAGAAGCAGAACTTTTAAAATGTTGTTGTTCCATCACAGAGAAACTTTAGTGGCATTTGTAACAAGAATATTTCCAAGGTCATCACAGCCCACCTGGAATCATCTGATGGCACTGGAATTGGTCGAGATACAGAGGTCATATCTTGACATCTAAAGCCATTACTTTAGACATGCCCAAGAGATGCGCCCCGAGTACACTCAGGAAATTGCTAGTGGAGTTCTTGTACTGCCTGCAGTGCAGACATGCTGCACAAGAATATCTTGGTAATCCTGAACCGTTTCTAGGAATTCAGATATAATATGGCCATTCTAACACATATAAATATTCTACAATTCCAACAAATGCAGGAACAATCCCCCAAACGTATTGATAAAAGTTACATAGTATAGTAACAGGCCACAAGAGCTGGCTCCTCTCAAGGCTTGTTAAATATGAAACAACTTCCACTCCAAACTCACTGTTCCCTAAAACCTCATGCTTATGAATGTTTCACTAGCAGGAGATTGTGTGTGCAGGCTAAGAGTGTAGGTTTATCATTGCTGGTTGCTGGAGCTTAGGCCTCATTACACTCCCACCAGAGGACTTTAGAGCAGTGTAGATCTCTGTAGGAACACTTAATGATGATGCTTATCCATTTTAGCCTACATAAAAGTGAATAGTGAGCGCGTGCACATAAGAGCAAACCTTATGCTTGCGTTTTTCTGCTAACACTTTACTTGAATCCTGCTGCATAATATTGACAATCGAGCCATAAACATGTCACGGCGCATTATAGACCATGTTCAAGAATTTTCCTTTTTTCATGATATAAGTTGTTGGGAATGGCCTTCACACATCCAAGAAATATCGATGTTATATTATGATTAATACAGCCTAATGTCTTTTCAATTATACATCAGCTCTTGTTCTTTACAAAATGCATCCTATGCAAAATTCTTACAAATGGATATTTGGGAATTAAACTCTTCACATTCTGCCATGACTTGTCATGGCTGATTATGTCCAATAATATTAGAGCATCATGTTACCATTATCGGAAACTATCATGAGGACACAACTGTATGCAAAAGTTTTAACTACCTGGTCAGCTTACATGTTCTGTTGATTTTCTAAGTGAATATAAGTTAACTCATCCTCTACAAGGAGCAAACTTAAATATGGCATTCTAAGCCACTGTAAGCATTGGCCCTGTTATTGGGGGATCCCCATCATTGGCCCTACTTCTCCCCATCACGCAGTATGATGCCAGCCAACATGGGTGTCTGTTGGTTAATGTAACAGGATTGGCAGTTGCATTAGCAGCAGTTCAGAGAGATGAGTTGGCGCTTCACATGACTTAGAGGAAGCACATGCTAGCCTCCTCCATTTCAGATTGGTAGCATTGTGTGATTGCAATGACTAAAGTGGGGTGGAAATTGGGCAATCCCCCCCCCCACAAAACTTTAGCATTTTTATGTTTTTGAGCGCAAGTTCCATTTATTTGCTGAAACAAAACAACTTTTCCACAGTCCACATTTTTATTGTTCACTTTTTCCCAATACATTAAATTCTGCAAATAAACGGACAGTAATTGTGCATTAATTGTGCAGATGAGTGTTCTCTGCTGTGACTGATTGTGTGTTAACTTATATTTTGTTGATTTTCTAAGTTAAAATATAATTTGATCGTGGTGCCTAAAGTTTTGCATACAACTGTACCATAATGTCTGATGTAATGATGGCTAACTTTAGTTCAAAGCAAAAATTAACCTGTGATATAAGCTGTCATCAAACATTGTCATCTGTCATGATGATTACCAGTGATGATTGCAGCTCCTGACAGATTTGACATCATCCATGCATGTTCATGGCATGGTTATGTCAATGTTATGTAGCAGGGTTCAAAATGAAGTGTTACCATTCTTTTCTTTAAAATTCTGCATGTTTAACTGGCTGGCTTGTCATTTAACATGCAACAAAGAATATTTCTATTGATTGCATGAATATACATTTCTTGTTTGTTTTTTGAGTCTACTGATGTTTTAATAATGTGAAAGCTTATAGAACTATAAGTAATTCAACACCTTTCATGCAGTGAAGTAATTAAAATCTTAAAAGGACCTCTCATTCTTTGCCGTGCCATAATTATAGCCTTATTCTCTCATATCTTTGAACACACAAACATTTTAGAGCAAAGGCCTTTTTCAGAAGTCAGCTACCATGTTGTCTGTTCACGCTGCGTGTAAATCAGCACTGCAGTATTTGATAGGCAGAATTGGAGCTGGAGCCATAAACATCAGCTGAAGGTTTGATTTGATGTGTTTTTTTATGTTTTTTGATATTGTTCTGAAGAGACATCTGGGTTATGGACAGGGCCACTGGAGCGCAGTTAAAAGGAGCTGCGATGTCCTTTGGGTAACATCAGGCTTCTCAGCAGGACATTTTACAAAGGCAGAAGGGCTTCTGACTGCATCACAGGGAAAATCCTGCCAGTCACACCCTCTCACACTGCTACGGTAAACAAAACTGTGCAGCACTGTCATTGTCTTGATCTTAATCACTGCACTGTGGAGATAAATCTGCTGCGGCATTTTTATACTGTGCCTGATACGTGCTGTACTCTGACATTCTGACTCAGTCATGTTCTTTTATAATGTAATGTGCTTGTCTATTATTTATTGTTAAATTGGAACACTCGCTTAGCTAGACCTTATGATACAACTGACCAATCTGTGCTTCACTCATGTTCACGTTTCTCTGCAGCAACTGTGTAAAGTTTAGAGAACTTTTGCAAAAAAAAAAATTTCAACCTGATAAGAATCTATAAGTCAGTTTTAGTTAAAATAATACATTAAACCCCTTAAATAACCCCAAAATCCACCAAAAGCAGTTCCACCACGTCATACAAAAGCCAAGGATGTGTAATGAGTGATTCTAGGAGTCTTTTTGGATGTAAGCAGGGGATCTGCTCTTCTGCTCATAACTTGTCATTGAAAAGGGAAAATTTATATATATATATATATATATATATATATATTTTTTTTTTTTCTTATCATATCAGCTTGTGGTCTGCCAAAAGTAAGATGAGCTGTGCCGCTGCCACCTTGATGCACATTTGACAGACAAATTTGGACTGCAAACATGACGACAGAGCACTGATTTTTAATGCATCCACACACTGCAGAAGACGTAGGTAGCTCTGATTAAACATTTGATGTAGTGTCACTGCTCATTGCTTTCAGACATGATGTGGAAGATGACACTAATATGCATGTAGTCCATGCAGTTACTGACTTATAATCCTTAGGACATCATAAAGACTGGATTTCAAGTGTCTAATTAGTCTCAAATGACATTTATTTTGTACATGTTCGAAAGATGGGATAAATCAGGTGTTGTGTAACTAGGCCAGGGGTCAGCAACCCAAATATTAAGAAGAGCCATTTTGTCCTTTCAACCAAAATCAAAGCCACATTTTTATGTCCATTTACCATCCTGGCTGTAAATACGTCTCAGTATGTGTTAATGTACTAGTATAGGCTAAAAATATATAAACAAGAGTGCAGACTTTGCTCTGTTTTAAGCTTTAGCTCAACTATAGCTGCATTTCTCGCATCTCCAGCAGGAAACTTTTCCTCAAAAGTGAAATAATGTCTTTCAACGTTCGACTTTTTATGAGGCTGAAGTCAGTTTCTCATTCGCCAGCTTCTGAACTGCTGCACCATTTAAAGTGGAACGAGACAATTCAAACTAGAAGCTGGCAAATGAGAATATAAGTTTCATGACTTTTTAGTGATTCACAGTTTCTGGTTGTAGATTAAACGTATCAGGAAACCATGTGGAGTGCTTATAAAGGCAAATAAGTCAATTCATCTCCAAATTATCGATGTCCCTCTTGAATCTTTCTCTTTGCCTTTTTGTTAGCTACTAGCTAGTCTGCGCATCAACCTTCAGGGTTAAAGGGTGAATTAGCCGATACAGCCTACATTAACTCCAGCGTTTAAGACCGTTTATTGTTATAACTGTTAGAACGATCAGCAGAGCTTTATTTTACAGCAAAGTAGAATTTTTTTTACCTAAAAATCTGATTCTGCTACGGAGCCGCAACTGGGCAGTAAAACCACTGCCGACCCCTGAACTAGGCTAATGCTAATGGGGTAATACAACATCATAGTCCAGCTCAGTAAAACAGCCTGTTACATAGAAAACTCAATATTAGCAATATTGTAGATGTGTTGTGTGCTTTCATTAAACTGAATGGGATTTTTGCCGACTTTTCGTTGTCCAACCTCATAGCAGCTATGAAAGAATGCATTTGTGGGTGGAGCATGGATAGGTCAATGATTCAGACCCTCTCTGGATTCCATTGTTGATATGCATCTTTTAGTATGTAAGGGTTGTTTACCTTTGCGTGTGGCTGCTGGAAGGTGACTCTTGAGTTGTTGACCAGGGGAGAGTATCTCATCAGGTGGGTGGGCGTGGCTGGCAGTCTGTGTAAATTGACTGTCTGGCTATGTAGGACAGATGAGAAGCAGATATGGACGGTGTCCTTCAAGGCCTTCAGCTGTGACTCCTAAATCAAATTAAAACGGAAAGAACAGGTGAGAAAGAGGGGCAGTCAAATGGAACTAACATTCTCTCCTGATTTCCAGCTCTTTCTGAAATGGTGTTTCACCTCTAACTTTGGTCCAGGTTTCATTTATTATTTCAGCTGTCCTTCCCTTAAATAGTGAAAAGATCTCTGATCCAAAAAGATAATAGAATTCCATCCTCTAAGTTGGACATTGCAGTCAGTTGAAAGACAGCTGTGGGAGGATATCTGAGGACAGACTGACCCTGAAGAAGGACTACAATAGTTAAAGGAGTTTTATCTTATCTGTCACTTTCTCACCTTGTCCAGCGCTGCTTTCTCCAGTTCCTCTTTGGCAACTCTCAACTTGTTCTCCAGGTCCATCAGCTGCTGACCCTTAACAGAAGATATATATGAACTCAGCCATTGCTTTCGAAAATCACTATGAAAACCTTCAAACGAATATTTTTTTACCATTTCAATAAGATGACAGCATTTTACATTTTGAGAACATTTCATAATGAATGGACCATTAATCACTAGGAATAAAATAACACACTCATTTACAAACTGCCATAAAAAGTATGTCAAATGCAAATAAAAACAGAAAGCAATGCTTTGTAAAACCATTCTGACCTGTATTTAAACAGTTCAAAGATAAGATACTTTGATACTTTAATTGATGCCTGCAACGCATTCTGAAAAAGTCAGGATGTTGGCAATTTAAGACTAAAAACATTCTGAAATGTTCAAAACACATCATAACCAGGTGATGCAATCATGCTATGGTATAAACAGAGCCAAGGAAGGCCTAGTCCCTTACGAGCAAGGATGAGTTTAGGCGAATGGGCTTGGGAATGCTTTACCACATCATTATCAATGAATGCTGTTCACTGCCACATCTACACTCCCATGCAGAACAAATGGACAAAGCCCAAAATGGCAAAACATCAAGCTTTTAACTGTCTTAACAACAAGCCATTAAACAAATAGAGCAACTTAGTATGGGATATTTTTCCCATTTCTTTAAATGTTGTGGTTAAACTTGCTGAAAGGCTTTTACAGAAAAAAGAGTCAATACTGGTCCACTCAGCACTGAGGGCTTCCAACTGTTGAAAAATGTTGCCAAGTTAGTTTGTGTTTATTGTGAGACCAAATGTTCTACTTAAGGTTTAAATATGGACTCAGACAGGCCAAAACCATCAGTAAAAAAAGATTAAAAATTATATTTTGGGCTTGGCCCATATTTTATTTTTTTTGCACAGGAGTGTACAAACGCAAGGGCAGACTGTATTATGCACAGCAGAATCTATATGCCAACAGCATCCAGAAATACTGCTGACATCTCTGGACTTGAGCTTACCAGAAATGCAGTGCTGCACAGTAGAAATGTATATTGTGTTAACACCACAGAGTCCAAAAGACATTAAGTTTCACACACTGTCCCAACTTTACTGGAATTAAGTTTTGTACATTAAAGTTAGGAATGCTTTTCCCTTCTCTTAAATTAAATTAATTAAATAACTTCTTCACAAATGTGAAGTTTTGTTATAATGATATGCCGCTAACATCTTTCTTGGGTCAAGACTGTTCTTATTCTGTGTCTGAAGGGGATTTTAAAAAGACACGCTCAGTATAGGGCATTAAAACTAAGCATTATTATTCACACACAATGCTAGAGATCAGAATTAATTTGGATGACCCATGTTGGTCACCATCAGAAAAAGAAAAAGAGTGTTTTGCATTTCTCTTCTCATTAGCACACAGTAGAAAACTGTCAGGTCAGAAAGGGCCCACGCAGAAAACTTAGATGCCTAAATCAGCAACAAATTCAGAAGGCCCGATTATGTCTCATTTATTGTCAAAAATACAGTGACTGAATAAGTTGCAAGAGATACGCTGTTTTTAATTGTACTTGTTTTATTGTATTCACATTGACAGTGCAAAGCAAAATGAACTATTTTAGTCATTCAAGTTTTATGCCATTTCTATCCAGTACTGGGTATAAACGTGTTGGCTTTTCCTGTTGCATATCTGTGTGAGTTCATGCTCAGTTCAGCTTTGATTCACCACAATTGTCAGACATGATTCAACCTTGCTGCACAGGGTTACGCCTGCTGTTTTATTGCCCAGCAGCTACTGTGAGTATAAAGTACAAGTCAAACTTAACTGCAAAAAGTTGAAGCCAAGAAATGAATGATCAAAAAAGTGTGTGTTTTGGTTCTAGAAACACCAAAGTGTAAACCACAACATTTCTGGCTCATTATTTTACATGCATGACTGAATTGCAGACAATTTAAATTTGGCGGTCAGAAAATGCTCAGAGAATCATATTTACAAATGTATTTTTCTTTCTATAGACAGAGAAAATGGGTTACACCTATAACACCTTACCACTATGGATTTCAAACAAAAAAAAAACAGCTTTTGGTATTAATAGTGAGGTTCTGTATCTTTTGAACTTCAAACTGAGCAAAAGGACAAAATATATTTTTTTTCTTTACTGTCACTTCATAATTGATCCAATTTCATAATTTTTGTGCAGAGTAACAGGAACCTGGATATAACAAAGGTATGTAACCTTTAAAAATAGGCCAAGTTCATTAACTTGGGTCAATACAGTCAAATAATATAAGGTTATATCATATAATAGTTTAATGAAGACAGCTTTAATAATGTCTTGTGGGTCACCGTAATCAGATGTAAGTGTAAGTTTATGTCCTAGAATAGTTTAAAGAAGGTCTTTCAGAAGAATAAGATGTAAGCATCGACTGAGGTCCCCTTAAAGGGTCAAGCCTAGGTCAAATTTATCATAATTGATTAGATTGATATGATAATAGTTATATTTATGAAAATCCTATAAGCCCCTTAAAATCCCAGACTTATTACATACTGAGGCTTATTATTCGATAAATACAGGGACTTTAACACAAACTGGTTGGAATATTCTTAGCTTATTGAAGTAATAAAACTTTGACCATTTAAAGGGTTAATCAAAATGACCTTGTAAGAAACTCAAAGTCTCTGATAAGAGGTACAGTGAGCATGCGGGGAGACTTGGGATAGTCAGCTTGTTAAATTTTTCTTTTACACGTCAGAGGCCAGTTTTGAGATGACTGTGAAATGCCTGGGGTTGGTTCAAAAGGTTTTTCCAAACCTCTGAAAATTTCAGAACAATGACAAGTTAAAGACAAGATTTATAGTTCTTGTTGCTGGGATACAGTCATTAGCATGTTACAGTGTCCACACTGACAGAACTCCACCAACATCACAAAGCTTCCTCACAGACTTTAAGGTTTATGTTTTTCAGGTTTTGTAAAAAATGGACAAAGATTTTCATGAATTACAGATATTTTGATCAAGTAAACTCCACCCCTTAATGACTAATTGGCAAATAGAAGCCACACTGTATATAAAATAAAACATATTTTAATATTTTGTGCAAACTTGACAATAATTATGCAAAAGTCGAGCACAAAACTTCAAACTTTGAAGAGATGCACAGTACTGTGTAAAACACCCGTTGTTTATTTAATTTTTAGTCAAAATGGCTTTATGCACAACTTATTAATTTTCAGCATATATCCCTGAAGAGATTATTTATAAGATAATCTACTTATATAAGAAAATGGGACCTCGTGGACCAAACTGGTAAACCAAAACTGTCCCAATCAGATAAACAGTGATAAAACAACTCAACGCTATGGGTCTGAACGGATGTGTAGCTGTGAGAAAAGCCCTTACTAAGAAAAGGAAACAGAGGGTTTTATGTAACAATGAGTCTAAATTTGTAATTGGGATTACTTTGATTGTAAGACTGAACTTCATCGGTGTGGAAAAATATCCCTGCGGATTTCTTTGATTTCTTTGAGTGCAAACCTTTAAAAATGAATGAAAGCTGTAATAAAGGCAGAGTTGACGTATTGAATAGTGAAAAATGAAATTTTCTGCTAAATATATGTTTTCTGCTTATATGTTTGATGCTTAAAAATGAACAACATGTATTTAATGGCCACTTTGACTGGATATTAAATTAATGAAAGTACAGTCACTGGTGACTTTTGCACAACACTGCATGATAGGATGTGGAATGCTGCACTATTGCGCCACCATCAGGCTTACTGGGGTCACCTCCTGGACTCTGCAGCTCATCATGTTTTAACAAAAAAATGTGTGAACAGACAGACAGACAGGCAGACTGATGAACAGAGCCCTACAGGGCACCCACATTTCATGTGAGGCTCCAGATGAAGTAAGACCACCTCAAAGAAATCAATGCAATCAGCTCTTTTAAACTACTTGATTGCACTCAGCAATCACATTTGATATAAGATGAGATTTCAGTGGGGAACAATTTCAAGTATCATGTCTAAAATGCACTCAGATGGATTATCTGTCTTAGATATGAATCTGCTGTGCAGAAATATACAAATATAACATACTTGAATCATCTAAGTGCCGCCTTTTTCAGTACACTGATGATTGTTCACCCTGCATAATTATGCTAATCTTCATTCAACCGGCTCACACATAATCAGCTTACTTTCAGGAATGCTATGACAGTTGACCGTGCTGTGCTTCTCTGACCCTAGCAGTCGATTCGCTGAGTCACAAGATCAGAGAGGAAAAGATAATAGAAATCCCACACACTCAATAAGTAACCTTATAATAGTCACATCAAATCCGGCTTGTGCTGGTCACCGATACCGAGGAAGCAGAGAGCAGCGACATTTGTAAAATACTCACTTAATATTACGCAAGCAGTGGCTACTCTTCTGAAACCTACTCAGACCTGGATGGGCTAGATGGTAATGCTGCCTGCATTTTCAGTGATATAAATGCGGTCTGCAACGTCTGACTTAGCAGTCTGATTGACTGTAAGTGCACTGATTAAAAGCTTTTCGCTTGGAAAGAGGCAGGCAGGGTCCTCGCCAGGAGAGGTGAAATTTTTAAAACCTGTTCACACCTTACGCTCCGGCCAAAAGAAAATCGATAGAGAAGTCATAACAAATCAAGGAAATTCAAACATCAAAATGTAATTACACTGTCACTCTCAGTAGAATTTAGTGCTAAAAATATTTTCTCATGAAACACACACACACACACACACACACACGCGCACACACACACACACACATATGTGCATGTATGTACACTGCCAGTCAAAAGTTTGGACACACTTAACTCAATATGAATTCTTAGACATTTTGATCTAAAGGCTTATGATTAAATGCAAATCAAATTTGTTTCTAAGACAAATACAGTGAAACTGATGCCTACTTATGAAATGATTTCCAAAACCTATAACACTGTTAAGTATTTTCTATGTATTTTAATGAAACATATTATGTTTGATAATATTTGATGTGTGCACAACTGTTCAAGCTGTGTCTGCT